GATGCTTTTCTGCCAAACTATTTTCCAAAGTAGGTAAACCATTTTACATTTTCATTAGCAGTACATGAAAATTCCATTTGCTTCACAACCTTTCCACTATTTGCCATTTAAATAAACCCATAGGGATAGTATATTAATCACTTTTATTTTCATTTCCCTAATAAAATAATGGAATTGAGCATTTCTATTCATGTGCTTATTTGCCCTCTATATATTTTCTTTTGTGTTTGTCCTAATCTTTTAATCCCATTTATTTCTTCTTCTGAACTATGTGCTTTGGTAAGATAATACTGAATAGAAGTGGCAAAATTAGACAGCCTTGTCTTGATCTTAAGGTAAAAACATTTAATCCTTATCATTAAGTCTGATGTCATTTGTAGATTGTTCATAAATGCCCTTTAACTTAGGAAATTCCCTTCTGTTTCTAGTTTGTTGAGAATTTTTATTAGTAACTGACATTGGATTTTTGTCTAAAGCTTTTAATGCATCTATTGAAATGACTATACATTTTCTTCTTCCTTAGTGTGTTCATATGACAAATTACATTGATTTTTGAAAATTAAACCAACCTTGTATTCCTAGGATCCCACTTGGTCATGATGAGTTATTATTTTTATATACTGTTATATTCTTTTTCCTAAAATTTTGTTTAGGATTTTTGCTTGTATTCATGGGATATTGCTGTATAGTTTTCTTTCCATGCTATTTTATGGTTTGGGCAGCAGAAATGTTCATCTCATAGAGTTGAAGGTATCCCCTTGCCGTAAATCTTCTGAGACAGTCTGTGTAGACTTTGTAATATTTTTCCTTAAATATTTGAAACAAGTCACCAGAGAAGTCACTGAGGCCTGGAATCTTCTTTGTGAGAAAGCCTTTAACCACAAATTCAATTTCTATAGCAGAAATTCAGGTTTTCTATGATCTTGACTGAGGTTTGGTAATTTGTGTCATTCATGGAAATTATCCATTTCACTTTAGTTATTAATTTAAAGGCATAATTTGTTTTGAATACCTTTAACTTCACAGCAATATAACTTCTCTAATTTCAGATAATAATTATTTGCATCATCTTTCCTTTACTCTTGGTAACTCTGGCTAGAGGTTTATCAGTGTTATTAATCTTTGCAAAGCACCAGCTTTGGTTTTGATGATTTTATTATTTAAAAAATGTTCTGTATTTTCTTGATTTATACTCTAATATTTAATGTTTCCTGTCCTTTGCTTACTTCAGAGTTAACTTGCTCTTTTTTATTTTTCAAATAAAAGAACTCGGTGCTATGAAATTTCCCAAGTACTGCTTTGGTAGCATTCCACAAATTCTGAAATGTTCTGTTTTCATTTTCATTCATTTAAAATACTTTCTAATGTACCTTTTGTCTTCTCAGCACTCATAAGGTATTCAGAAATGTGTTATTTAGGGTCCAAATGTTTGGAGATTTTCCACGTAATTTTCTGCTTTGGCTTTAAAAAAAATCAATCCAACTATAATCATAGAACATACTTTGTACTGCTTAAATCCTTTAACATTTCTCAAGCTTTATTTTATGGCTCATAATATGGCCTAATTTGATAAAGGATCTGCATGCACTTGACAATTAAGTGTGCTATATTAATGTTGGAGTGTATGTGAGTCAACTGGGTCAAATTAATGAATAGTAATGTTCAAAATTACTATATGCTCACTTTTTTGTCAACTTGTTCTTTTATTATAGAAAGAGTATTAAAAGTCTAAGTATAGATATGTTTTGGATTTATCCATTTCTCCTTATATTCCATCAATTTTTGCTTCGTGTAAGTAGTGTAAGACCCCTTTATCACTATGAAATTACCTTCTTTGTCTTGGTAATATTTTCTCTGAAATATACTTTGAGATTAATATACTCATTTCAGCTATATTATGGTCATACATTATGGCTAACATTAGCATGATATATCATCTTTCATCCTTTTACTTTTAACCTGTTGTCTTTATATTAGAAGTATAATTTTTCTTGAAGGCAGTATACAAATAAATTGTCAATGTGCCAATCTTAGCCTTTTAATGGAAAGTTTAGACCTTTTATATTTCATTTGATTCCTGATAAGTCTGGGCTCAAATATACTATATTGCTATTTGTTTTAAATTATTTTATTATTTTTTCTAGGGTTTATAGTAAATATCTTTATATAGGTTATCTTTAAGTAATATTATACTTATTTTATATATTAGAACCTTATGGTATATCTACACTTAGATTTCTCCTTTCCTGCCCTTATACTATTGCTACATACATTTTACACATATATGTAATCCCCAAAATAAATAGTTATAATTGTTTACACACCAAATACATTTTATAGACATTTAAATATTAAGAAAAAATATTTACTTTTTTTTTTTTGGTACCGGGGATTGAATTCAGGGGCACTCATCTGCTAAGCCACATCCCCAGCCCTATTTTGTATTTTATTTAGAGACAGGGTCTCTCTGAGTTGCTTAATGCTTTATTTTTGCTGAGGCTAGCTTTGAACTCGTGATCCTCATGCCCCAGCCTCCTGAGCTGTTGAGATTACAGGCATGTACTAACCACACCTGGCTATTTATTATTGTTATTATAATTTCCAGTGACCTTCATTCCTTTGCATAGATCTGTTATTCCATCTGGTACGACTTTCCTTTTGGATTTTTCCTTTAACATTTCTGGTAATGTGAGTCTGCTAGTGATTAATTTTTTTCAGCTTTTGTTTATCTGAAAATATCTTCTTCTTTTTCTTTTTCTTTTTTTTTTTTTTTGCTGGGCATAGTATTCTAGGTTGATGGTGCTTCCTCCAGTATTTTGAGAATGCTACTCAACTTTGTTCTTGCTTGCATTATTTCTAACAAGAAATTCAATGTCATCCTTATATTAGTTATATGGAAAATGTCTTTTTTCTCTGGATGCTTTTAGGTCTTCCATATCAATGACTTTGTATAATGTAATTATGACATGCTTTCGTGTAGTTTTTTTTTTTTCTTGTTTCTTATTTTTGGGATTCATTGAGCTTCTTGAATTTGTACAATTACAATTTTCCTCATTTTTTGAAAAATACTTTCTTCTTTAGAAACTCCAATTACATGTCTATTTGGCCTCTTGAAGTTATCCCACCATTCACTGGTCTTTCTTTTTGTTTCTCCATTTTATTTTTGCATTTCAGTTTGGATTATTTCAAATTTACTAATCTTTCTTCTGCCATTAATATTACCCAGTATATTTTTTCCTTCACATAGAGCAGTATAATTTAAGTCTTTTTTTATATCTTCTATTTTTCTGCTTAAATTATGTATGTCAATAAATTAGAATAATTAGTGTGTTTTCTATTCTATGATCGGTGTAGGTCCTGAGTTAGTTCCAATCAATTGATTATTCTCTTTAATATTGATTGCACTTTCCTGCCTCTTTGCATGCCTTGTAATCTATGAATGGATGCCAGGTATTGTAATGGATATTTTTGCATTTCTTTAAATTTGCTTGTGCTTTGTTCCCAGATGCTGCTACGTGAGAATAACTTAATCCTTTTGAGTGTTAATTTTATAATTTATTAGGCAAGTCTGCAACAGTGCTCAGGCTATGGCTCACTGTCAACACAATTGATACTAAGCAAGATTTCCTGGGCATTCTAACTCAATACCCAATGAATTAAGAAATTTTTTTCCAGTAGAGTAGATGGAATCAGAAATGATTCCAGGGCTGGGGCTGTAGCTCATTGGTAAAGCGTCTGCCTCGCACTTGTAAGGCACTGGACAACACCACATATAAATAAATAAAGATATTGTGTCCAACTACAACTAAAAAAAAATATTAAAAAAAGAGAAATGATTCCAAGTCCTGTTAGGCTCTATTCCTTCTAATTCTGTCAGATAGGTTTTCCTTTGACTTTAAGTAGTTTCCTCACATATATGTACTGGACAGTAGAACTTTCCTGAGTAGTTGAAAAGGACTCTCTGTAGATTTTTGTAGTTTTCTTCCTGTGAAATTCTCTCTTCTTGGGTACTTTGATCTGCAAATTCTAGACAATTTGCTGTTCCTTCACTCCCAGTTCCATCTCCTCAAATTAAGAAATCTGCTGTATCAACTTGGGCTCCTCTTCTTGAGCCATGATCTGGAAACTCTCTTAACACAGTAAGCTGGGATATCACACAGGGCTCAATTCATGTGTTGTCCATCTCTCAGAGATCACTGTTTATTGCCCTTTCTTCAGTGACTTGAAAACTATTGTTTACAATATGACTTTAAGAAAATGTTTCAGGTAAAAATAAGAATTCAGCCCCTATTATTTTAAATAAGCAGGTCCTAAATTTATATTTTCACTTAGAAAATAAAACTCAAATTTAAAAGTGAAATGTTGACAGAGGAAAATAACCATTGAGTGCTAAAGAAAGACAGACGTAAATAACTTCCTGATGTTAAGATCTGTTTAGCATAAGTACACCTTTTCATCTATCAACTTTATCCATACTGACACACTCAACATCACATGTGCGCTTTCTCCAGCATTTAATTCTATGGCGGAAGCTCTGGATGACCTCTTATCAGTTCCCGAATGTTTCCCAGTGGGACTCGGTGTCAACATTCTTAAAGGAAGATAAGATTGTGACAAAGTTATTGAGTACAGAGAAAGGAATACTGGTCCTCTTTCAAGAACTGTCTAAGGGCTGTAAGTCTCCTTCTTATCTGTCTGAATTGAAAGCTACAGTAAAAAATAACAAATTTTTTCAGTAACACAGAATGTCCTCAAGGAGGTGAAGAAGAAGGAAAGGGTGTTACTTGGGATGAAGTTGGGGAAAATGTCTACTGCTAAAACTCATAGTGACCAAATTTTACTTCTTGAGTTGTGGTCCTCCCATACTAGTTTACTCTGGGGACCTCAGGTGAACAGTCAAAGGGCTTCTGCCTCGAGTTTTGTTTATTTAGGAACCAGAAAAGAAAAACAAAAGCAAACTACCTGCCTCCCACCTACTAATGATGTTGAGAATTAATTACCTGCTTGAAGCAATGGACAGGCGCTGGGACTGAACATGTTTCTTTTAGGTATTTGTCCCAGGTAAAATGACCTGTAAAGGAAATAGAAATCTCTATCACAGTCAACTTCCTAAAAAATGCTTTTGGGATATAATCTATGCTAAACATTAAGCCACTTGCAGACTTCATTTGAGCATAAAGAATTTTTTTTTCCTGTTTGGGCTACAAGGAGTATTAGGGAGAAGGATTTAGTTGACATGAATGGATCATTTATTAGATTAATGTTTTAATAAAATCATGGTTTCAAGATGACCCAAAGTGTTCTCCATGTTAGTCTCTAAAGTAATCCAAAATTCCAAAGCAAGATATACAACTATCTTAAAGAAGTGCCCAGGAAGCTCATGGAAAACAGAACAGAAGAAACAGAAAGGGAGTGGGGAGATTCCTTCTGAACAATCTGATTCCTGCAGTGGCCCTTTATTACAGCCAATGACAGATTTTAACACCCAATGTGGTTGGATTCTACCTTCTTGGCTTAGAAAGAATATGAAAGAAAGGCATCTGGAGACATGAGGTGAAAGGATTTGAGGGGAGGGGAAGCCAGAGGAGTGAGATGATACTTGAGTCCTCACTCTTTAAACTGGCTTTCTCTCACCTATCCCTATCCCACTCCCATCCCAGTCACAGCTGTATTGCTTTGAGGTACAAAATGACAAAGGTCTGGTAATCTAGAGAAAGTAGGACCTGGGAAGCATTTATGATGACAGTAAATAAGAATATGTCTTTCAAAGTTTAAAGAACACTATCCTAGAGAAATAATCTTTAAGGTGACATCATGCTGGGGTCAGAAAAACATGGTAAGGGACAGGCTATTAAATACAGATTTCACTGGACCAAAAAAGATTACCAAGTTATTTATTTAAAGGTTAAACCAATTACCAATCTCCTCCTAATACCCACCTAGAGGTGACCCCATGATGGAGCAGGGAAGGTCCCAGAGACTCTCACAAGCTAAAACACTGTAGCAAACCAGCATTTCTTGAAGTTTCCTCTGTAGTGGAGCAGCACAGGGCCCCTTTGGGCCATGCAAAAAGCACTAGATGCTGGGAATAAAAACGAGTCACTGAATGATGAAAACTAAAGCACTCCAAAGAAGATGCCAAGACTTTACACTCTATTGATTTTATAGCTTCTGTTTAAAATTGGTTCCTTTCCCACCATCATCCTTAACTAAGCCAAATAGATTTGGCCACAAATCAGTCAGTTCTGAAACATTTCATGAATTAGTCAATGATTAATCATCATGACCAGACACAGTCCATGGGTAAATAAGTTGATATTTCCTGAAGTTAAGATTTAAAGAGGTTATCAGAATTTAATAAAGAATTTGCTCTTAGCTGAGAGGGTCCTAAATCAAGAACTGAATACATGTCATAACTGTTCACTATTAGAAAAAGAAATCATACAAATAATTATTCTATCCTTATAAATTAAAAATTAAATTAAATAGTATGTATTGAATTTCACTGAATTGAAACTCTTAAGCTCTTTTATTTAGAGCAGCATGTCCAATATAACTTTCTGTGCTGATAGAAATGTTCTGTATCTGTGCTGTCTAGTAAATTAGCAATAGATACATGTAACTTCTGAACAGTTAAAATGTAGTTACTATGGGTAAGAAACTGAGTTTTAAATTTTATTTGATCTTAAATAATTTTAATTTAAATACCTATATGTGGCTAAGAGCTAATGAACTGGGCAACACATGCCTAGAGGTTTGATGAATTCTGGTTAATTGCTTATATTGGCTTAAATTCTGACTAGAAGAACCCAAGAGACTTTCGTTTTAAGAATTACCACATCATTAGTGATACCACAATAATTAGAATATTAATTATAGTTCTCTATTACCGATAGCACATGGAATCAATTCTTGTGCTATCGGTATACAAGCCAGAAACCTCAGACATTACACCACTTTGAAAACACCCTATTAGAAACTAAATGAAAAAGAATCTCTTTATTAAAAGCAGTCTATCCACTATGATGATTGATGGCTTAAACCATACCTAGACTGATATTTTTCTTATACTTGACTTCTCAAGCTTAGTCCCTTAGTCAGATGTTATGGTTTAGATATTAAGTGTCTCCCCAAATCTCATGTGTTGAAACAATGTGAAGAAAGTACAGAGGTGAAAAGATTGGCTTATGAGAGCCTTAACCTAATCAATGCATTAATCCACTTGAATGGATTAACTGGGTGATAATTGTAGCTGGAGGCAGTAGGTCACTGGGGGCTTGTATTTAGGGTTTATATTTTGTCTGTGGTAAAGGAAGCTCTCTTTCTGCTTCTTGGTGTTCATGTCCTGAACTGCCTTCCTCCACCATACTCGTCTGCCATGATATTTTGCCTCATCTTGGGCCCAGAACAATGGAGTTGGCCATCTGTGGACTGAGAGCTCTGAAACCATGGGCCCCAAACAAAAATTTTCCTCCTTTAATTATTCTGGTCAGGTCTTTTGGTCACAGAGGCAAGAAAGCTAAGTAAAACATCAGGTAAACTGCAAATTAAGATAGTTCTTATTAACTCAATAAGAATACTTGAAAACACTTACTACCAATGCCTACCACAAATATTTGCAAGCACTATATTATAGACAGCAAGATATAAACCAGGAGTTGGTGAAAACAAAATAATAAAAATTTTATGCTTTGCAGGTCATATAATCTATGTCACAACTACTATGCTATTGTGTGCAATAGTAGCCATAAGCAATATATAAATGAATGAGCATGGCTATGTTCTATTAAAACTTTACTGACAAAAATAGGCAGTGGGCTGGATTTGGCCCCAAACAATAGTTTGCTAATCCATGGTCTAAACAATTGATACCAAAACCATAATCATAGATTTTTTTCACTCACTTGAACAAAGTTCAGGACCCTGTCTTCAGAAGTTCTCAATGAATAGGGTTCAAGTGTGGCATGAGAACTTGTATTTTGAAAGGCTCATTAGGTAATTCTAATTAAAACCTGTGTATAGAAACTATTGGTGTAGCTGAAAGAATGTGATATTTGAAGTCAGAAGATGTTGGTTTAAGTCTTGTTTCTATAGCTAACAATCTTGGGGGAAATTACTTAATCCTTCCACACCTCACTTTACTTATCTGAAAAACAAAGATAATACCTATCTCGTATGATTGTACATACATTTTTCACTTAATAATATTTAAATTCCTTCCAAGTACAAAGAACAGTGTTAAATCTTATGGGAACAAGATGGATAAAGTTCCTAAATTTATAGAGCTTTCAGCCGAGAGATAAGCAGATATAGTAAAAAAGTAATAACAAATATCCTGTTACAATTAAGACAAATTTAAGTTAATGAGGTAATACAGATTGCCTTGAGAATGTAGTACAGGGAAATTTGTTCCATACTTGAGGTCTGAGATCATGTGAAAATAAATATTAACTAATTTTGTATAATGCTTTGTGAACACACATAATTTGAGTGTTTTCAATTATTCTAACATTATAATTCAAGGCATTCAACATTATCACTTGATCATTTTCAATAATTTATTCAATAGATGTTTGTTGAACATCCGCCATGAGTGAGGCAGTATAGCTTGGGGTCCCTGCCCTCATGGAATTTACATTCTATTATATAATGAGACACCATTAACACATAAATAAATAAGATAATAAGTATTTCAAAGGAATAAAATGAGGCAATGGGATGAACTAGGAGATATCTTAGTGAAGTTATGGACATATGCTCTACAGAGGAACTCTCTAAGCTGAGACATTACAGATAAGAAAAAGCCAGTCGTCTTATTTATATCACTGAATAATGCTTATGAAATTGTTTTCTAAATTCTAACACATACCACACTACAATGACATTTATCATTAGGAAAATAGGGCCTGTACCATGAAGGGACAATTTCTTACAAATGACATAAGAAGCCTGTAAAATGTAAAGCACAGGAGTTGACCTAGTTGGATGCTTGAATCCTCTTTTCTAATATTTCTTCATTCAACAAATATTTATCAAACACCTACTGTATGCTAACCCTAGCTCTAAGCACTGAGAATATATGGCCAAGAGCAATAGAGCAAGTCTCTGTCCATGTGGAGCTTATACTCTAATGGGGAAGAAAGATAATAAACAAGATGTTTGTTAGTTGGCATTCTGGTCACATTCTTCTAGAAGATCTCTACTTTGTTCCACGTAAGTGTAGAATGCAAATGCCTGAGAGCAATAAGGAAAATCAACATTTTTAGATAAAAAATCCTACTCCAAAATTACTGTTTAAATGATATTCCACTGTTCATATATACCATAATTTATATAACTTAACAACAAATTTTGTTAAATACTATTATTTCATTAAGTGTATACTCTTTGAATACTTTTCAGATTATCTTCTTAGGACAAATTCCAGAGTAGGATTAATGAACAAAGAATATGAATATTTTAAATTTTGATATAATACATGTTGCCAAATAGTCTCTGGAAAGATTATACAAATTTCTATTCTCATCAGAACTGCATGAGAGTGTATTTCCCACACCTTCCTAAACTGTTGTTTTTTTTTTTTTTTTTAAGGAAAAGCTAATGTTTTCTTTACTTAAATTAATTTAACTGGTTCTTCTTTGTTATATATGATAGTAGAATCCATTTTCATAAAATTATACAAGCATAGGCTATATCTTTTTCTAATTAGGACCCCATTCTTGTGTGTGGGCATAATCTTTATAATTTTGATAAATATTATCAATGAAAAAAGTCCTATTTATCTTTTATTTATAGTTTTTTGATTAATAAAGTTAAAGCTCTTGTTTTTACAGTTATCATCTAGTTTACATTTTATTTTGTTATTTTTCTCCCGAGTTAATTTTTTATTTTCTCACAGATTCTAAGGGGTCTTTGTCAATGAAGACTATTAATCCTCTGTCTGCCCTTATACTGAAGATGTATGTCTCAGTTTGGTAGGGTTTGCCTTTAAGTTTCTCAGTCTGTTCTTTTATGGATTCTTGGTTTTCATACCATAGTTTCCTCACTTCAATGTTATAAAAAATATTAGCCCATGTTTCTATGATTTCTCTGGTTTCATTTTTTTTTTAGTATTTGATCTATTTGGAATTTATTTTATGAAATGAATGAGAAAAGACTCTAGCTTTCCCTTTTTACACATATTCAATAAATGTGCTCCAATATCATCTACTGAATAAATCATCTTCTTCCTACTTATTTGAAATGCCACCTTGATCTTATATTAATTTCTTATGTATTCTTAGATCTATTTCTGGACTCTATTCTGTTCCTCTAATTAGCCTGTCTATTCCATCATGAGAAGCACTCAGCTTCACATCATTTCATAACCAATTTAAATATCTGCTACAGCAAGTCTTTTTCATAAGTCATACCTTCAATGCTATGTCTTCTTGGCACTTTTCAGATCATTTATAAATTGTGGCATACCTAACATTAATAAAAACCAGCTATTTAAAAATGTCTAAAGCTATAAGATACACAGTCATTCATTCTCAAAACATTGCTCAGAACCCTTTAAAATTAATAGCTTGATATTTTTAATGGATCACTTCAAAATAAAACACCAATCCCCCCCAAAATTCTGAAAACAAATAATAGAAACTGAATTATATCATTAGTAACCTTTTAAACATACGCGACAACATCCTAACTAAAAGTCAAGAGCTCATCAAATACCCTGATTGAAAAAGAAAGGTTTCAAGTAGAAACTCAGCTTCTAGTATCAATGCAACACTTTTCATTATTACATGTTTCTGCCAGCTAGTTTTAGTTTTAAAAGAACATGCACACAAGAATCAGAGTGATTTAATATGTACAGTCTTTCATCAAATGTCTCAAAGGTTGGAGAATATTGGGTAAAAAATATGTTCAACTATGATATTGCTCCACTAACATTTCCATGTGGTTTCTTCTTTGAAAAAGGATGAAAAAGAAAGTAACTTTATTTTTATTTAATAAAGAAGAAATTAATAGAGAGAAGAAATTAAAAACTTTTTATAAGGTTCAGGCAGGTATCCTGAAATGAAAAAGATTTGGATTTGGGAGGCTTCATAGATACAGAATCACAATATGACTTAAGAGTTTCCTTAAACAACTTTTGGCTTTATTTGCCTCTTATGTCTGCCATGTCGCCTCTACCCATTGAATGACACTTAGTAAAAATGTTACTTTCTTTGCAAAACCTCTGACTTTTCTTATATTCCAAGAACAAATCCTACAATTTCCATATTTTCTATAATATCTTGTTTATGCCTCTACTGTCATCACATCCTATCATTATAATTATTTATGTGAGCTCTTTATGGATAGGAAATATATTTATTCATTTTTAAAATCTTCACTGTTTTATACAGTGTTTGAAACTTAATGATAAAGATTTAGTGAAAGTTTTTGAATGAATGAAAAGAAAAGCAGCACAGAAGTAATAGTCCTAATCTTGACTGGACTAGTAAAATCACATGTGGGATATTAAATTTCATCTGGGAGTTACTTTGAGACAGATACAGCAAAGCAGAGTTGAAATGGTGACCTGTGGCAAAGAGTCACCCGAGGATCAACTGAAGGAATAGTTCATGACTACTTAGCATGAGAAAAAAAAGTCTCAGAGCCATTTTCTCATCCATGTAGTTATCAAATATCAACAGTATTGTGCTGGAGACATAATCATGATCAAAATGTTGTCCTTGTCCCTTGAAAAGCTTTGGTCTAGTGAGACACAGAGGCCAAACAATCCACTATAATATGCTATGGTAAGGGCTACACCTAGAGAGGTGGTGGGTATTATAGGAGCACCTGGAGGGTTTGTGGAAACGTGCAGAGGAAGTCATCTTTAGGATCCTAAGCAACAGTGTAAAAAGATAAGCAGAAGCCAAAGAGACAGGAAACTTTGTTTTAGACAGGAAAATAAAAGCATGTATAAAGGCTTGGAGGTGAGCAAAAGGAGTTCTACAAACTGGATTTTTTGGTATGTTTACTGGGTAAAGTTTAAAGAAAAAGTAGTCTAAGAAAGCAGTTGTAGATAGAAGCACTGTTCAGATATGAATGCCTCCCACACAATGTTAATGAGAAGCAAAAGTGATGAAGGGCTTGGGGTGCAGTCATTCTGGCTGCAGGGTGAACAATGGACTGGAAGGAAGGGTATGGAGGCTGGAAGACTAGTTAGGAAGCTATGCCATTAATAATCTATGTGTGAGATGATAGTGGCTTAAACCAGGAAAATGGCAGAGCAGCAGTGACAAACTAGATCCTACAACTGCTTTCTAATAATCAAGAGACCAGTAAATAAAAAATAGGCTAAACCTGTTTCATACAGCCCTAAAAGTTAGAATGTGACTAATATAAATTACAAAGAAAGAAATTTTTGCCCAATATCTATCTAATATGAAGCAATCTACCTGAGGAGGCTATAAGTCCCCTGCAACTTGTATAGTTCAAGATAAGACATTTTATAAGAAATTCAAAATGTCAAATTTGAAATGCTGGGCCAGAGCAGCATTTCCAACACTGAAGTTCCACAGATCTACTAAATTTTATTTGTTTGATATTTGGGGCTGTTCTCTCTGCCTGATGTAAAAAAAATAAAATATGTAGTATTAAGTCATGTCAAAGGCTATGCCTGTGCTAACCAGTACTCTCATGAGGAAAACTATACTTTCAAATTTTAACATCATTTGTCAACTGATATATTTTATGTGAATTGAGCATCCATGTTTCATAATTCCCTCTCAATAAATAGATTGTTTACATGCCTAAAGCTGTCATTGAACTACAATTATTACTTATATGAGCAACAAAACTAGCAGGAGCTATCACTGTCTTCCCTTGGCATGCCAGACTAGCACAGCATCTCCCATGTTCACTACAGCCTGAAAAGCAGGTTTTGTGCTCATTATAAAGATAAGAAAATGGGCTCAAAAATATTAAATAATTTGCCTAAAGTTACTAAACTGATAAGTGGGGAACGGGAATTTGAACCAAGTCCTGCCTGATTCCTATGTCTGAGCATTTTCCCACTATTTATTGGCATCTTAGAAATCTTGAAGAAGGTTTTAAGGAGCAATAAAAATAAGTATCATTTCTTTATAAAGTGCCAGGTACTTTTACCTGCATATTTTAATTTCATTAATTTCTTCAGCTTCACTTTTGAATGTCAGAAGATCTGACTTAAAGTCTAGTAAAATCGTTGAACAGAATGAAAGTCAAAACAATCCTCTACAGTATTAGTATCTGAAAGTTTTAAAGGATTTTTGCATGATTTAGTTCATGCCATCTTCTTTACAACGTGTGAAGTAGGCAGAATGGAATTAACCCCATTTTACAAATCAGAAAACTAAGGATTTAAGAGTAACTCAGTGGCAGAACTGGCTCTCAACACACCCAGGAGGTTCTGACTCTTAGTGTTCTACTTTATGTTATGCTGTGTGTCAGTGGGCAATGGGAAGTATCATGTTATAGGAACAAAAGGCAAGAAAAAGCAAATAGACAATAACAGGCTGAACACATGTAATTACAGTAACAAAATATACCAAAATACCTGAACGGGGGCTGGGATATAGTTCAGTTAGTTGGAAGAATGCTTGCTTTGCATGCACAAGGCCCTGGGTTCAATCCCCAGCACCACACACACACACACACAAAATTGAACAAAAATTCATAAAGGTATCAGGATACCAACATTAAGGTAATATGTAAAAAGATTTTAAAGGATTCTAAGACATTAATATTAATGCTTATGTAAAAACCCTAAAGCTGATTGAGAAATATTGGTATTAGTTTTATTCCTCAAATCCTAATCCTGAAGTATACTATACAGTGATAAAAACCAAAAGAAGTTATCAATCTGACTTGTTACCTGATAACATTTTAATATTTTAGTTTTAATTTAGTTCATACACTTAGAAAATCTTTAGGCTTAATTTCAGTTCAATTTATAATTAATTTCTTTTGGGCAAATCCCACCAAACTTTGGTTTATGACAGTGGAACTTTGTTTAGTTCTAGTTGCAGTGCATTAAGAAGTTACTTCCAGTGGGGCTTAGTTTCCTTTCCTCCTATAGTCTACATAATCAGCCACACCCCCTTCCTTTTTGTTAGCTTTGTCTGTGACCTCCTGAAAAGTAGGACTTGATGTGGCACTGAGATAAATTACATTAGGCAGGTGAGCACAGAGTTCATTGGATTATGAGATGGAGACATGTAGAAGTATCTTCCTAGTAGAGTAAAACTGATTACAATCTTAGTAATTCCCTTTATTTAGCAGAAACAAGAAAAATATCTTACCTAGCTCCAGGATGTCACCAGTTTCTATTAAACAAAAAAATGTTATAGCATAGGTCATCATGATAAACATACTGAAATGGTAGAAAGGTGAAATTCTGGAGTAAAATAGGGGTTTGAAAGTTTGTTTATCTGATTACTTCATTTTAAAAGATACTGAGTTTTCTTAGTTAGTAGCTGCGGCAGTACACTAAACTTTGCCTTTCTCTAGAGACTAAACTAATAAAAACTATGAAAACCTGGAGGGACTGAGCAACAGTGCCTAAAGCTCTAAATATAATTGGGATTATTTATAAGAAATGTACGTTTCCAGATTTTCAGCTCAGAATAAAATGTTACTTTTTATAGACACCTTAATAATGACAATATTTGCTTTTTCTTTAAAAAGTGAGTTATTTATAAACTCAGACTTCTAAGAACAAATGTTTTATGGTAAAAAATGTCAAACAAAACTTTTTCATGCTATATGGCTTTTTTCTTACCTTGATATTGGGATGCAGACTCTGATAGGTGACCATATTTGTATTTTCTAACATCATTCCAGTTTATTACTGCAGGAAGAGAGAAAAGAGTCACGTAGAAAGAAAACACAAGATTCACTACTTCTGAATTTAGCAGTTTCCATTAACAGTTTTTAACTAAGTCATCACTTTTGAGATTGTATTTTAGGAAATAATACAAATAGAGACAAGAATGTTATAATTAAAAAGCTTTAGAACTGCTTATAGTAACAGAAAAGAGGGAACACATAAGCGTTCAGAACAGAAGATTGATTCAGATTCAGCTGTGTAACCACTTGGAAAAATATTTTGAAACTGTTAAACTTTTACAAAGGCTAAAGAATAAATGGGAAAATGTTAAATTATAATGTTATTAGGTAAAACAAGGGAATAAAAGTTACATTCATAAAATATCACAATTATACAAAACAAAAACAAAAAAAACTAAAAACAAAGAGCACCCATGTAGGTGAACTGTGCCCTCCCAAATTTCATATTGAAGTCCCCACTCCCCAGTACCTCAGAGTGTGTATTTGGAGAAAAGATCTTTGAAGAGGTAGTTAAGTTAAAATGAGGTCACTGAGGTGGGCCCTAATTCAATATGACTGATATCCTTATAGAAAAAAAAAAAAAATTGGACAGGGCCAGAGAAAAGATGGCATAAAGACAGAGGGAAAATATGGCCATCTATACCTTAAGAACAAGAGGCCTCAGAGGAAACCCTGCTGACACCTTGATCTTGGACTTCTGGACTCCAGAATTATGACAAAATAAATTAGTGTCATTTAAACAAACCATCAACTTGTGGTCTTTGTTATGGCAGCCCTAACAAATGAATACACTTCTTAAAAATTATCACTAAAAAAAAATGGAAGTAAACACAGCAAATAAATATACGGGGTGGTAGTACTGGATCCCCTTTATAATTTCTAATTATAGAAATTAATCAGATGTAGCTGAGCTTCAGCCCTAGCCCAACAAGTATTTTTAATTCCTCACACAAACTAGAGGAACCTGGAAAGCAGTGCCCAAAGAAGAAAAGGAGAAAACAGCTACATTACAAAATGTACATTGTTTAAATACTGCCACAAATTACTCCGTGTATCAGGAAGTATTTAAACAGTGTACATTTTGTAATGTAGTTGTTTTCTCTTGTATCAGTTCTTAAATGAGAAAACAGCAGCTGATAGAATTTCACACATAATAAAAGAAACCACTTATTTAAAAAATTTTAAAGCATTCTAAGAATAATGGTCATGTTTCAGAGTATATTGTGATATGTAGTTTAATGTAGTATGACATGTATGATACTATTTAATAATCAAATTTATTCCTCTTACACAAGCAATGTCTTTCTTCTCTGGTAGTCCCTTTCCCAGTTAGCAATAACAAGTCAGAAATCTGAAATTCTTCTTAATTGTCTGCTTTTCATTGCTTTTGGTTCTCAAATCAATTGGTTATCCAATTCTGCCAGTTCTACCTCTAAAGTGACCAGCTCCTCTCTCCCATCTCCTGGATGGAATCAGTACAGCAACCTCTGAGCTTATGTATATATTCTTGAACTTGACAAACAGAAAGCACTTTTTAAAAACTCTTTACCAAATTTTGAATTTAGATTTCATTATCTCTTCCTTTACTCAATAAAAACAGTTACTTTATTCTTGTGTCTTTTCTACATACAAATCAACATTATTTTTCTAAAATACAGATAAGATAAAATATGTCACTACTCCATTTAAAAGTCCTAAGGGGCTGGGCACAGTGTTGCACAACTGTAATCCCAGCAGCTCGGGAGGCTAAAGCAGGAGGATTGCAAGTTCAAAGCCAGCCTCAGCAATAGTGAGACACTAAGCAACTCAGTGAGATTCTATCTCTGAATAAAACCCAAAATAAGGCTGGGGTTGTGGCTCAGTGGTTGACTGCCCCTGAATTCAATCCCCAGTACCAAAAACAACAACAACAACAAAAAGTCTTTAAGGATCATACCCTATACTGTGACCAAACATATAAACATATTCCTACTTCTCTCTTCCAGATATTTCTGTTTATTCCTCAAGATCTAGGACAAATGTTACTTTGTAAAAATTTTCTGGTAATGCTTCTAAGAAAAGTATTAGCTCAACCTTGTACCTTTATGCCTATCACAGAATGCTACATCTAAATACTTACTAAGCCAGTATGTATTCCTGGAACTTGACACACAGAAAGCACTTTTTAAAAAATCTTTTTACCAAATTCAGAAACAGTTATGAGTGAGAGAAAAGTTATACATATGAATAAGTCAATATTTCAATGATGCTCTCATCAAAACTATTGTAATATAGAGAATGGTACTTAACTAAAGAAACCACTAACGTTGGATAGCAGTTATTCATGTTAACTAAGAATAACAAAAAACAGAGCATCTAAAACTGCAGATGATATAAAAGTCATTCATATTTAGCTTTATCTTAATTTTTTACAACAAATTTACTATTTCAATCATGCTAGGTTAATATTAAAAATGAAATTACTATTATTTAATGGGTAGAGTTTTAAGTTTTGCAAAATAAAAAAATGATCTATAGATAGATGGGACTGATGGTTCCATAAGTAAATGTTTTTTTGAATTTTCTGACCAGAAATGCCACGGAACTGTACACTTAAAAATTAGTTAAAATGGAAAGCTGGTGATATACCTTAGTAGTAGAGTGTTTATCTATGTGTGAGGCACAGGGCTCAATTTCCAGCACTAAAAAAATTAAAATGGTAAACTTTGTTATGTATGTTTTGTTATAATTTTAAAAATTAATCTTAAAAATGAAATTTTCATTCATGGATGTCAGGGTAAGGTAAAAGCTCAGAGGTTGCTGTACTGATTCCATTTCAGATTTAACTAAAATCTAACATTATAGCAGGCCAGAGCCAGTCATTTTCATATCTATCACCTCAGGTATTATCAATATCTTTTTGAAAATGAGAAATCTGGGGCTCAGTAAGTTTAATAGTGTCATGGAGGGGAAGATGTAGTGCAGGAAAAAGCAATGAAAGATATATAATAATGGTCCAAAAAGGGAGTAAATCCACAATGAAAAATGGAATTGAAGCAACAATGTGAATCCTGCTTAGGAAGATTCATTCATTTAATAAATACTTATCTGGTATTTGTCAGTCATGATTCTAGATACTGCATATATATCACTGAACAAAAACTGCATTCTACTGGGGTTCTTACCAGGGGTTTCACAAAACGTCATCTTTTGATTGGAGGTATTTGAAAAAGCATTTATTGCAGGGAAGCAGATGTCAGAGACTTTCTGGCAATGAACTTTCCTGTGGAAGCAGAAAGGCTGGATGACCACTCATCATCAAATGTGTAAACTTTCCTAAGCTGAGAGGGAATTTATGGGTTGAAAAAAAAAAAAAAAACTTCTAAGATTCTATTAAACTTTGGGATTCTTGTTCTCTAAGTAACAAATAATATTATGGGAGCTGAGGTAGTAGCAATGAATCTATATCCCATGTGTATATATTTATGTTTGATTAAGCACATGTGTTTATCTTATTAACTATTCATAAACCTGTATTAATTGATATTTTCCTTTATATCTTACATATCAGAATCAATTAAATGAATGAAAGAGCACTTCCTATTCTATATTGTTCAGTTTGACATTTAAATCTCATTTCCAACTCAATGTTTTCAAAACAACTCTAAAGTCTTTGCTACTTCCTTACTGAAATCACATTCATAAGGAGAGAAGATGGCAGAGTAGAGGCGGTTGCTTTCCAAGCTGCTCCATGGTGGGAGACCAAGAAAGTGGATAAATAGCTTCTCAGTGAGATAGATGAAAGTGGGATTTTCCTGGGATTCAATTCTGAACACTCAGAACAGCTTGGGATATATTAAAATAAAGAAGGAAGCCCACCACCACCGTCAGTGGCTGCCAGAACTGACCACTGTGAGCAAAGCAGGGAGGGGGACTAAGGAAACATGCATTGTAGGTAGCATTGTGGCATCTGGTACAGAGAAATCAGAGATCAAGGACACTGTTGACGGATCCAGAGGGTGTGCTACACTATATCCTCCTATAGGAAAGACGCCTACTGTCTTCCGGTTGTCTACAGAGAGCTGAGGCAAGAGCTACCTTGCCATGAGGCTGTGGCAGCTGTGAGGAGCAAGTTTAGGAGCCTAGACCTGGGAAATCTGAGCTGGGTCTGAAAAACAGACCTGGTAGATGCCTGTTGGCATGACCCAGAGTATGCCTAGGAGAACAGGAGAAAAATCAGGCAAGGACAGTGTTTTATCCCGGGGAATATGGGTCATAGAGACCCTAGAGCCTGGTTCCATTGACACTACAGCAGATGAAATGCCTCTGTTTGGGTCAGCATTTTTGATGCTGTGACTAAAAGATCTGACCAAAACAAATTTAGAGGAGGACCAAAACAATTTTAGAGGAGGAAAAGTTTATTTGAGGTATTACAGTTTCAGAGATCTTAGTCCATAGAAAGCCATCTCCATTCCTCAGGGCGTAAGGTGAGGCAAATCATCATGGCTAAAAAGTGTGGCAGAGGGAAGTGGCTCACATGATGATCAGAAAGCAGAGAGATCTCCACTTGCCAGATACAAATATGTACCCCAAAGCCACACCCAATGTCCCACTTCCTCCAGCCACACCCCACCTGCCTTCAGTTACTACTCAATTAATCCCATAAGGTGATTAATTCACTGAGTGGGTTAAGACTCTTACAATCCAATCATTTTTGCTCTGCACCTTCTTGCATTGTCTCACACGTGAGCTTTTGGGGAACACCGCACATCCAAACCATAACAGCCACAGAAGGAATTTAGAAAGTTCATAATTAAACTGATCTATGAAGTAAAAGACGTAGGATGTAAGGAGTGAAATCAGAGAGAAAACACAAGAAGTAAAAAATTACTTCACTAAGGAAATAAAGATTCTGAAAAAGAATTAATCAGAAACCCTTGAAATGAAGGAATTAATAAACCAAAATAAAAAGTCAACCAAAATCATCAGCAACAGATTAGAACACTTGGAAGATAGAGTTTCAGGCAACAAAGACAAAGTATATAATCTTGAAAATAAAGCTGACATAGGACAAAAGATGTTAAGAGATCTGCCCATGCTGGCCTAGACGGGACCCACGCTCACAGTAGGCCTGGGTCCATCCTGCCATTGGCAGACACCCACCAGAGCCCAGCTCCCTTCACCCCTTCCAACTGGCAGACTATTAGGAGAGCTCAGGCCCAGTCCAGATCTGCCCTCACTGACTTGCAAGGGACCCAGGTCCAGAGTAGGTTCGAGTTCACCCCCCCACCCCCACCTGGGATCCTAAGCCTAACCCACCTTTTTTTTTTTTTTTGAGTAGATCTACTTTTTCAACTGTAAATTTCTTGTAATCTAAATATAGATCAAATATTTTTGATAAAACTTGGTATCTGATTTAAGATATGCTGTAAAACAGAAACCAGATTTCAAAGATTTTTGCAGTATATATTTTTGTACTGGTTACATATCAAAATAGTATTTTAGATATATAAATAAAATACATTTCTAAATTAATTTTGCTTATTTTTACCTCTTTTAATGTGGCTATTATAAAAAATTAAATTATATATGTGGTTTGCATTAATTGCTCTTGGGCAGTACCATGTTGGACAATTACAATTCAGTGAAGCTAGGGAATAAGATATATGGGTGGATAAGAGAAGGAGGAAGTGGTCAACATTAGTGGCCATAGTTTTTACTATAATGGAGAAAGCAGAGTTACAATAAGAACCAACAATGGGCAAAGAGGGGAGGTGAGGAACAGAGGACAGAATATACTGATTAAATATTTTTTTCATGTGGCTCGGTTGTTCGATCTTCCTAATAACTAAGACTCCCAACTATTTCAGGAATAAAGGTAGGATAGGCTTTTGAGAAAATAGCAGATTTTAGTGTGAAGCAGAAGGGCAAATGTGACTTAATCCCAAAGAAGACAAATCACCCAAATTATAAGTCCTGAGTAAGGGATAAGAAAGGGTAAGGCACAATAAACTAGAAAACGTTGTTATGGGCCCAAAGTGACAGGGCTAAGCAACCACAGACTGAAACCTCTGAAACCATGAGTCAAAAAAAAATCTTTCCTCTTTTTAAGCTGATTTTTCTTAGGTATTTTGTCATAGTGACACAAAGTTGACAAACACAGAAAAATAGTACTGAGAGTGGGGTCATTGCTGTGACTATACCTGACCATGTGGTTCAGAAGCCCACAGAATTGGGCTGCAGGAGGAATTTGGAAAACTCCAGAGAAGTGGGCCAGAAAAAGCCTAGAATACTATAAGTAGAGCTTCAAGGGAGATTCTGGTAAGAACTCAGAAGAGAATGCTGATGGGAATGCAGGGAGTAAAAGACGTGTGCTTATAAGCTTATAAGTAAGGAATCTGTTGGGAATTAAATTGGACTAGAGGCCATATGTGTTACACTGTGGTAAACATTTTGCCTATGTCCTGTAATTTTATGTAAGGCTGAGTTTAAAGGTATGGACTAATAAATCTGAAGGTGGAAATTTCAAAGCAAAATAGCAGTCATGGTATATCATGAGTATTGCTGGCTGCTTTCAGACAGGTTTAATGAAAATCAAAAGTAAAAAACAGAGAAGCGGCTGCAGCACCGAGAGGAGGCAGAAGGCAGATAAGAGAAGCCGATGGGTGGGCACCATGGCCGGGATCACCACCGTTGAGGCAGTGAAGCGCAAGATCCAGGTTCAGCAGCAGCAAGCAGATGATGCCAAGGAGAGGGCTGAGCATTCTCCAGCGGGAAGTTGAGGGAGAAAGGCGGGCCCGGGAACAGGCTGAGGCTGAGGTAGCCTCCTTGAACCGAAGGATCCAACTGGTTGAAGAGGAGCTGAAACATGCTCAGGAGCGCCTTGCTACTGCCCTGCAAAAGTTGGAGGAAGCAGAAAAAGCTGCTGATGAGAGTGAGAGAGGTATGAAGGTTATTGAAAACCGGGCCCTAAAAGATGAAGAAAAGATGGAACTCCAGGAAATCCAACTCAAAGAAGCTAAGCACATTGCAGAAGAAGCAGATAGGAAGTATGAAGAGGTGGCTCGTAAGTTAGTGATTATTGAAGGAGACTTGGAACGCACAGAGGAACCAGCTGAGCTGGCAGAGTCCCGTTGCCGAGAGATGGATGAGCAGAACAGACTGATGGACCAGAATCTGAAGTGTCTGAATGCTGCTGAAGAAAAGTACTCTCAAAAAGAAGACAAATATGAGGAAGAAATAAAGATTCTCACTTATCGATAAGCTCAAGGAGGCAGAGACCCGCACTGAGTTTTCCGAGAGATCGGTAGCCAAACTGGAAAAGACAATTGATGATTTGGAAGATAAGCTGAAATGCACCAAAGAGGAGCACCTCTGTACACAAAGGATGCTGGACCAGACTCTGCTTGACCTGAATGAGATGTAGGGCTCCCCAGTCCTGCCCTGCTGCTGCTCCTCCCTCTGACCCTGACTCCGCCTGAGGCCAGCCAGCCCGAAGCTGACCTTGAAACTGAGGGCTGATCTTTAACTGGAAGGCTGCTTTCTCCTTTCAACACCCCCTCGACCCCCTACCCCCTTGTCTTTTTCACCAAACTGTGTCTGCTTCTTCCCAGAGATTCCAGCTGGGCTAGAGGCTGAGCACCTTTGGGAACAGCATTTAAGGGAATGTGAGTACAACGCAAAGTGTCTTTAAAAGCATGTTGTGATGTACACATTTTGTAATTACTTTTTTTGTTGTTACAGTAACCATTTGTAAAACATTACAAATAATTTCATAGCTCTGAAGCAGCAATCTAATTCCCTTCTCACTTTTGGAAGGTAACTTTCCAGCCTAGTCCCTATTGCCCTCTCCATAGAGGAGGAAAAGAGGAATGGGCCTGCCTTACTGAGAGCCAAACAGAGCCCAGGGAAAGACTCTACTATGGCAAACCTCATTGCTCTGTGCAAAGTACCAGCCAAACCAGAAAGGTGATCCCAAGAGGAGTTCGCCAAAAAACAAAAACCTTGCTATTCAGGTTTTGTTTCATTTTTAGCTTTAAGGTATCTTTAGACAACTGTATTCTTATTTTTTACTTTTTTTCATCAGAAATGACCAAATTAACATGATGAGACCTCTGAGACTTTTTGTTTTTCTGGTGCTGGGGATTGAACCCAGGGCCTCGTGCTTGTTTGGCAAATGCTCTACCACTGAGCCATATTCTTAGCCCTGAGACCAAATTTTTCTCCCATCTCTACCCACTTTCCAAGTGTTCACAGAATGGATCATGGGCCCCTTAATCTTGCGTGACCACTTAATTGCTCTCCTGCTTGCTTGAAAGAAAAAAAAGAAAGAAAGAAAATTATGTTTTGGCCACTGATTTAGCCATATGAACTCATCTCATCACCCTTTTCTGGGTCTGAAGCTGCTGTATCTAAAAGTGCCATCTCATTGTGCTTTGTATCAGTCAGTGTTGGAGAATCTTGAATAGCTTATGTACACAACTTTTAAATTTTTATATTATTGTGAAACTGCATCTTTGGGGTGGGGTACCTGGCCACCTTGTCTGGCTGTGAGAGTCCTGCAGTCTGGGCTGGCAGTGTGCTGATCTTTCAACGTTTCTTTCCCAGCCCAATCCCCACTTTTTTAGGTGAGGTTTCGTGAGGTCTGTTAGGTGTACATCCTGCAGCTTACTGGCTTAAAATGTATTCTCCTTTGTTGTGGTCTCTTTGGGGCCAGTTGGGAGAAAGACAAACAATAGTCCAACTGTTTTGATACTGAATATTGACAAGTGTCTTTTTGAAATAAAGTCCCTCCAAAAAAAAAAAAAAAAAAAGTAAAAAACAGATGGGAATTTTTGTTGTTGTTGTTGTTACTAGGAATTAAACCCAAGGGTGTTGTATCACTGAGCTATATTCCCAGTCCTTTATTTTTATTTTTTTTAAATTTCATTTTAAGACAAAGTCTCATTTAAATTGCTGAGACTGGCCTCAAACTTGTGATCCTCCTGCCTCAGATTCCCAAGTAGCTGAGATTATAGGCATGCGCCACTGTGCTGGCTGAGAAAAAAATTTTTTGTTTTTTTTTAAAGCAGCTGAACAAGGCTTTATTGCGATTCACTCTTGGGTGAGACCCTCCAGTTGACCAGAGCCGATCCAGGAGAATCGCCTGAGCAAAAAATTTTTTAAAATTTGTTCAGCCAGAGAAGTGCATGCAAAGTTTTGGCTAAGGTGGGTGTGGTTGCTAAAGTTATTAGTTCCATTTTAAAAAGCTAAGCTTGGCATACCTACTGGCCCAGTTACTTGGGAGGTTAAGGTGGGAAGATTGCTGGGGCCTAGCTTGGGCAACATCGAAAGACCTTGTCCCTTAAGGACAATGGGGAAGGAGGAGAGAGGGAAGGAGAAGAATCCAAACACTCTGCACCAGGAAAATAAGAAAGTTGCCTTGAAGGCATTACAGGAATTATCAGTAACTCACCCATCCTAGACTCAAGAGTGTAGAGTAGAAACTTATTTAAAAGACCTGCTTGAGAAGAGAACCTCTCCCAGGCACATTTTTTTTCCCCATAGGGCTACATAAGGAATTGTTTCTTGGATTAATTTCCCCTTGTTCAATTATCCAAGCACAAGGAGGTGGCTGCAGCTGTGGTCCAAACAGACCCAGTTCCTGGAGGCAGACCTTAGTGTTATCCAGGAGATGCTGGTTTTTATTTTGTTTTGTTTTGGTACCAGGGATTGAACCCAGAAATGCTTAAACACTGAGCCACATCCCAGCCCTTTTTATATTTTATTTAGAAACTGGGTCTCACTAAGTTGCTTAGGGCCTCACTAATTTGCTGAGGCTGGCTCCTGACTTATCCTCCTGAGTGAGGCTTACAGCCTGCACCACCATGCTTGGCATGATGCTGGTTTTTAGGTGAGGAGAATGCAAGGGTTGGGTTATGAAGGTTTCCACTGAGAATTCAAAGGAAAGTGTGGGAAGCCAGGCAGAGCATAGCAGGGTCAGAGATCTTGCAAGTAGCTCCTGAAAGGGAAATAAATGAAGTCGTGAGAATGAGACTGAAGTTGCACTGGAGATCCCAGGAAATTAGAGATGTCAGGAATGTGGAGCATCTACCAAGGAAAGCTTCAGACACAGAGCAGAGTCAACCAAACCGTTGAGTCCATGTGGGCTGCAGCCAGCAAGACTATAGGGGACAGGTCTGCTCAAGCTTTCTGGATCTTATTGTGTGCCCTGTATGCTGGTCATGGAGCTACAGGATTTTATGTTTGTCCTATTAGATTTGTCCTGCTTTAATTCCATTCCTTTTTTTTTTTTTTTTTTACCCCATTCTTTCTTTTTTGGAATGGGAATGTTTACCATATGCTTGTCTTATCACTGTATGTTGTAAGTATGTAACTTTTTATTTTATTTTATGGGGGTTCACAGCTAAGAATATGTTTTGAGCTCAGAGAAGATTAAGACATTTCAGCAGTGTTGGAATTGTTAAAACTTTACTGACTGTTGGAGATGGACTGAATGCATTTTGAATCATGAAATGGACATTAGCCTTTGGGACCTTTAGGAGGTAGGGCCTAGGTAGAGGAAATAGGTCACTGGGATCATGCCCATGCAGAATATATTGGGACTCCATTCCTTTCCTCTGTTTCTCCTTGCTTCCCAGCTACGAAAAGCAACTTTGCTTTACTACATGCTTCCTATCACGATGTTTGAAAGTTTTACCATGTACCCAAAGTGACAGGTCCTAACGACCATGGACTGAACCTCTGAAACCATGAAGCAAACTAAGTATTTTCTCCTTTTAAGCTGATTTTCTCAGATATTTTTGCACATATATGGAAAGCTAATACAGTTTCTTAATCCCTCTTACCTCTATGATAGCATAAAAGAACTTACCACTAGGCTGCATAATCAATGAACTAAAGACTGCTTAAGGAGTTATGAGGTTTGGGATTTATCCCTGGATCCACCAATATCTTGCTCTGACTTCTGACAAGCCAATTTCTCCGTATGTTATTTTCTCCATCTGCAAAGTTGATGAGGGGAGAAGAGGGAGGATAGTTATTAACCTGACTGAGACCTTTACATATTAACAAACTGGATGAGGGTATAAGAAAAGTAGTACATTTGATATATATTTTTTTTCTATTAAAATATCCCAAGGTTGGAAGTTACTTTATAGCAAGTATCACTGATACAACTTAAGACTCTATATTCACAAAAATAAATACAGATATTTGCTACATTTGGTACCATGCAAATACTGAGTATAAACATTATTTCCAACTAACCAAGTTATGCCATAAAATAAAAAAATACTAAAAACGCCATTCATATGTTGAAGCCCTAATCCCCAATTCGACTGTATTTGGAGACAGGGCTTCTAAGGAGATAATTAAGGTTCAATGAATTCAGAAGGGTGGGACCCAAATCTAACAGGGTAAAACAAACAAACAAAAATCCACCACAAGAAAAACACCACAATGAGGACACAGAGAAGGTTCCATCTGCACGCCAAGGAGAGGGGGCTCAACAGAAACCAATCTTGCTGGCATATTAATCTTGGATTTCCAGCCTCTAAAACTTTTAGACTATAAATTTGTGTTACTTAGGCCACTCATTCTTTAGTATATTGTTATGGTGACCAAAGCACATGGTTAAAGGCCAGATGAGACTGCAGCAATTCTTTGAGAGTGCCTCAGAATTTTCTAAAGAACTTTCACTATTTTCCTGTACCAGTCTGAGGCAGTAAAGCAAGAACAACATCCACAAAAATATTAATTTTTTAAAAAAAGGAAGACACTGAATCCGAAGTTAAAATTTTAATCTGATTTGAACAACTATATTTTCCTTTACAGACTGCTTTTCCTTTAGGACTTTATGCAAATAACTACACTGAAATTCAGCTTGCTTTGCAACGAAAATTGGGATGATAACCCCAATGCTACCTGCTTTACAGGGTGAAAATTCCAAATGAGAAAATGGCTTTATTTTGTTTGAGCATTATAGTTATATATATATAGTTGAGTTCATTTTGACAAAATCATACATGCATGGAATTTGATTTCAGTCCCATTCCTCCACCTTTTCTTTTCCCTCCTCTCTCCCCCTAATATCTTTCATCTACTCTAATGATCCTCTTTTCACTCATTTATTTATTTTTGATTTGTTCTTTGTACTTAACATAAAGGTGAAATTCCTTATGGGATATTTATATGTGCACATAATTCTGTTAAATTCATTCTGCATTTCCTCCCCTTTCTTGTCCCTCCTCCCTCCCTTTCAATACCATCTTCTACTCTACTGATCTTCCCTATATCTTTATGATATCTGATCCTCTCCTCCTTCTTTCCCTTATTTTGCTCTAACTTCCACATATGAGAGAAAACATTTGACCCTTGATTTTCTGAGACTGGCTTATTTCATTTAGCATGATATTCTCCATTTCCATCCATTTACCAGAAAATGCCATAATTTCATTCTTCTTTATAGTTGAGTAAAACTCCATTGTATATATACTGTACATTGACAAAATGGCTTTAAAAGTATATAATGCAGATAACAAGTATTATTAGGGGAAAATGTGGTTTATTACCTTTCCCACAAGAAAAACTCAGATCCTGAATAGTACAATATACTTAACAAAAGGGACTGTCAAACTCCTGTTACTAGTTAACCCCTGAGAACTCAACTATTCACAATCTGAGTAACTACTCTACATAATATCTGTTAGAACTACTTCTATTTTGCCTATTCTTCCTTTGACTTCCTTTTACTGTTGATTGGGACCTTCACAAATTATGGTAATCCAGTCTTCCTACAGGAAGTGAAAGTGTATTTACTTTAAAAAAACAGAAATGATACTAAGAAGTTACATAAAAAAGAGTTATCTGAATCCTCAAAATAAGATATTCAGAGCCCTCAAATATTAAGAGAGTAGGATCTATATGACCTCAGAAAATATATCCTCTTTGGTTTTTCAGGAAAGAACACAAGAGGATAGACAACTAATATCTAAAGCAGTGCTGTGCCACAATGACAAAAATGTTCTATATCTGTGTTGTCTAATGGGCTATTCGGCACTAGAAATGTGGCTCATGGATTGTCCTAAAGAGTTGTACTTTTTATTGCATTTTTATTAAATTTAAATTTAAATAAACACATATGGCTAGTGGCAACTGTATTGAACAATATAGATCTAGAGAATATAAAGTTCTGGTATTTCTAGAAATTTTTGAAAGATAATATGTGATAGAAAAATTAACAATACTATAGAAGCATTCTTTCAAAATGTGACAAAATAATCACAACTGGCCATCCCTTAAATCAAGGAAAAGTAGAAAGAATTATTTGTGTATTATATTAAGAAAAATGTAGTTATAAATTTATTACTTGTATACTGCTATGGTTGGATGTGAGGTGTCCCCCAAAAGCTTCTATATTAATGCATGAATATTCAGAGGCAAAATGAAATGATTAGATTATGAGAGCTATAATTATATCAGCTTATCCTAGTTTGAATAGATTAACTGGGTAATAACTGTAGGCAGGTGGGGTGTGACTACAGAAGGTGAGTCACTGGCGGTGTGCAGAAGTGTTCATATTCCTTGTGGCCCCTTCCTCTGCTCTCTGGCTGCCATCAGCAGAGCAGTTTCCCTCAGCCACATTCCTCTCTGCCATGATGTTCTGCTTGCCTTGGGCCTAGAGCAAAGGAGTGAGTTGACTATAGACTAAATCTCTGAAACTATGAGCCAAAATAAACCTTCCCTCTTCTAAATTGTCCTTGTCAGGTATTTTTGTCATAGCAATGAAAAGTTGATCAACATATATTAATAATTATCATTAACATCATATAGCTATAATTTTTAAGTGTTTATCATGTGCCAGAGGTTAGGCTAAGTATTTCAATGATAGCATCTTACTAAATTTTCACCATGTAGCATGGTATTATTATTATTATCTCTTTTTATTAATGAGGAGATGATACCTAGAAAGGTTGAGTAATTTTCTAAATGGTTACAATAAGTAAAGAAATTAGGATTTGGGCTGGGGTTATAGCTTGGTGGTAGAGCGCTTGCCTAGCACATGTGAGGCACTGGGTTTGATCCTCAGCACTATATAAAACTAAATAAATAAAATAAAGGTACTGTGTCCACCTACAACTAAAAAGAAATATATTTTAAAAAAAGAAGTAAGGATATGAACCTAAACTATTCTTTCACCTATTCTGTCTCCCATTCCTGTGCCTCCTCCTGACCCCACACTATAAACAAAACAAACAACCAAAAAACCCTACTCACACAAAGAAACCCTACAAATGCTTTCTGCTTAAAATAGCCCAGTTTGGGAGAGAATACATGTGAATGTGGATAATCTACTCATTTTATTACAGTAAAAACGGAAGTGTTAATGCTTATCAGCTTGATCTGGACATTGAATAAGATTAGGCAATAATGGAATTTAAAGAGGTAAAGCTAGGTTAAATGTAGGCACCATGTGTTAAATAGTTTAGAACTTAGAAATTAAAAAAAAACACAAATAATTCAAGTTTGCATGCACATACAAATGGGGTGGAGGAAAGAAAGCACAGAAAATAATAGAAAAGGAAGGATGTTTCCCCTAGAAATTAAACTGAATAACAGAAAAAAAAAAAAAGAGAGAGATTCATCAAACAACCTCTGAAGACCCACTAAGAAAGAACTTTTTCAGTGATAAACCACAATTCTATGTCAATATGTACAGAGCTCAAAATGGAAGAGCTGCAAATAGAACACGTGCTCACTGTGGTCATGGAGGACAAGCTACAGGGAGGCAGGGGACAGGGGACTACTATAGAATGCAGCACTGATCAGCTTCTTTCTCTCATTAGGAAGTATTCCTAGTGCTCCCCAGCTGATTCTCTGCCTCCAAATCTTCTTCATTTACTTTTACTTCATTTGGAGATAAGTGTGATGAGATGTAATATTCCTCTGGGATGATCTGCTAGGAAGTGGGTGGGTGAGTGGGGATAACTAGGCAATCCCTTTTTCAAAGACAGCAATAAATTCTGTCTTTTCCATGTAGCAGATGTGAACAAAGAAGATGAAACAGAGCTCCCCTTGGCATTTTCCCTCCCCAATTTGCTCTGCAGTAATTATACATCTCTATGTATGAATACAGAGAGAAGAAACCCACAGAATATCAATATTGCCTTTAACAAGCAAGGCAGCTAGCAATGAATGACTAATGAAAATACAGAGGCCAAAATTCCCTTTGTTCTACAGACCGTCCTAAGTAGACTTTAACCATGTAAAATGTTCACTCTTTCCAGAGGTTTACATTGGTGTGATCCAGAGCACAAAAGTTGATCCTTCTTAGAATGCTCTGGCTTAAACAGAGAAGTCACTTAGTGGTTCCAGTTGTGCCATATTATACTTTCAGATAGGCATACATAGATCTGATATCATGCAATATGTAAGGTTACATCATCATCATCTTTCTAGTTAGTATATGGGGTGGGTATTTTTAGGCTGGCCTGAACTCAGTCTTCCTGCCCCAGCCTCCCAAGTAGCTGGATTACAAGTACATGCCACTATGCCACCAGATAGTTAGTATTTATAATAAAAGAGATGACAGTCCTGAATGTTATACTCTCTGCCAGTCAGAATACATCAGAGGTAAAATTTTTAGTACAAACCTAGGTCCTATACTCTGAATGAATAGTTGCACAGTGTTGTTTGTGATAATGAAAACAGAACTCTGATTCAGAATTTCACTTCAAAGGTGAAATCCACTTTATAATTGATTTATTGTATGCAACCCTGTCAAAAACTGAGAAGTATTTGTGCATGCTTGTGTGTGTGTGTGTGTGTAACACCAATATTCTCTCTGAAGATTTACAGAAATGTGATATGAGGGCAGAAAAAATAGCAACAGCAACTGTACCAGTGGCAGCTCACAGTGTTCCAGTCTGTTTTCTGCTTCTTCATCTATAACTTATCAGTACTATGGTAGGCACTTTACATTCCTTATCTCTTTGGTCCCTTT